CCACAGGGAAAGGAATGATCCCAGCAACAACTCACCTTGGTATGCAGGTCGTCTCTGCTGGCCTGGAGAGCAGTGCCAGACTGTCTGGGTCATGACTCCAAAGGCTGCAGACTGCAGGTGATCGCAAGAGGCTGGGGAAGGTCAATATGTGACAATTGCAGGCAGCTGACTGTTTGTATTGACTTACAAAGAACAATCTGTGATTAAAACAGGCTCTGGATGCCAGGCTGATGGCAAGTCCTTCCTCAAGGGACTACCCAGTGGCACAACTGGAAGATGGACAGCACAGGAGCTGAGGGGACAAACAACACGTAGCAAGCACAGCCTTTCAGGTTCAATGGGAGGAGGAAGGAATTCAGTAGATAATGAAGTGAATCAGAGACATGCCACGTATTCCTTGGACCTATTCAAGCTTACATAAAAGAAAATCATTGCATTTTTGGATAACAAGTTGCCCCAAAGCCTTTTCTCTGTCTTTATAGAAACAATTTATTTGCACCTGAGAGAAACTCACCAGCAACAAATGGCAAACAAAATATTCTTCAAAGGAAGTGTCATTTAAGAATGGGTTCAATTAAAAATAAAATTTTACCCTAAGATAAAGCATATTTACTGCCATTTGTTATACCTGTTTCTGAACTATTCTAACCAGATGAGTTTTGAAAAGTTTTCTTTGCAGCAATAATGGATCAAAGACGCCAAGAAAGCTGAAATATTGACAGCTATGTTTTATAGAAGGATCCTGGTTCAGCCACGCATACAGAAGAACATGAAAATTATTCTTCTGTTCAGTTCTCCACTTCAAACCCTTTGACAGAAACTCCACCCACACAGCTGCCCCAGCCAGGTACGACCACACCAGCTGAACATCAGCTACTGAATGGTCATAAATTATTTGTGTCATGTATACAGCATGTGCTCTGTCAGAGACTCAGCACAAAGCAGTTTTCTCTAAGACATAAAAAAAGAAATTAAAAAATCAGATTTGTTACAATGATGTCTTTTAAGAAGTCTGTAATCTAAGGCTCCCTTTATTGCAGCTGACCCAGTAAGGGCTGCTGTTTTTCCAAACGAACAGCCCCCTTCCGTCCATAGCCCACCTGGCACGTCCTGCAATACTGCACTAAAGCTGTTGCACTCCTTTTCGCCCTCTCAGATAATCCCAGATTCCAGGACCATCCCTTCGGCTGTTAGTTATTATAGACCAGGATCAATGAGATGCAGCACGTTTCGCTCATCAAGCGCTTGCTGAGAATACGGTGCAATTTGTACCAAGTTTCCCGTCCTGACAGGAAAGGCACACGGAGAAACCTGGTGTCTTTGATCCACACGCGTCAAGGGGAGCTGTCGAAACGGGAGGTCCAAGCGAGCAGCAGCTGTAGGCCACTGCAAACCTCCCCGCCCAGCAGATGCTCGACATCCCCGCTGCTCTTTGCCTTCCCTGCCTGCAGGCAGCCTG